CAAGAACGGGGAAGAGAACATTAAGAGGTCTTTTTCTCGATGCCCGGCGCTACCGGTTCACAGTGACACAAAGTTCCGACGTTCAAATCTTCGCAAAATGTCCAGCATGCACTTACCGGCAAAATCCGACTCTGACAAGCGATGAGCTCTCGGTCCGCCGCACTGCCGATATTGGACCACTGCCGACACGAGGAAAGAGATTCCCATTTCGAGCAGACCGCAAGAAGGCGTCGGGCGAAGAGCAACTTGGACATTGACGGAGCACTTCGTGCGAAGGGAGAAAAATGTCCTTAAGCACGCGACGCCAGACTGAATTTGCACCGAGTTTAAACGAGGACAACGAGCGCATTCAACAAGTGGCGCAGCTCTCAAATGCTCCGCTGACCGTGCGATCGTGCCGCCACTGCCTCCAGCACCGACGAATGCGGAAAAGTGATGAGAGAAGGAGGTGCCGGAAAAAGAACAAAAAAAGGAAAAGAAAAGTACTATGAAACGCGAAGCTTATCACTCTAATCCGCGCTTGCTCTCGGTGGGGTCCGTGGTCCGTAGCTCATTCGGGGTATCTGTTTTCCTCGTAGCACTAGTGGCACTCTGCCTGCTCCATCACTTTTCTTTTTGAGAGACACTATAGAGGATCACTTGACACCTCCCCCAGCCGACTGACGTCGTTGCCGCAGCCCCCGTGGCCCCGGTGCAGCACAATGTGTCGGGCTGTCTCTTTACGGCCTTCCCGCCACGTGGCTACTCACTATTTAAACGTAAAACGGCAACTACGGCAACTACCGCCGACTACCTCTACGGCTACTCGACAACCCCGCCGACCCCACTGCTCGCCACAACCGTTCTCTGCCTGCCTTCTCCCTCTGCCTTCTCCGCCAATATCCATCCCCGAGCTCTTCTCCTTCTCTCCTTCTCCCCTCTCCCTTCCCCCCTCTCTTTCTCTTCTCTTCTCTTCTCTTCTCCTCTCTTCTCTTCTCTTCTCTTCTCTTCCCTTCCCTACCCCCCCCCCCCCCGTTGGATTGGATCGTGACGGCTAGGGCGCGAATCTGCAGCCCAGTGTAGCCACACAGAGCGCCGAATACGCCGAGTTCGGCTAGGTTTGATGCAACACTGCCAACTCTGCTCAGCCCGCTCCATAATCCACACCGTGGTTTATGGAGCGGCTCGAACATGGGCTCAACCGCTCAACCAGGACATCTGCGTCGTGCATCCCCGACGCGCGCAGCGGAGTTTTTGAACTCCTTCAAAACGGTTTTGAACTCCTCGGTAGTTTTAACAGTTTACAACCCTAGACGATGCAATGTAATGTTTACAACTCCCGAAAGATAGCCCACCCCTATTTTTGGCTCGATTTGCTATATTCTTTTGAACACCGAGAGATAATAGTAGTGTTGGGGATCATTGATGACCTCGGCGTAAATGCGGCTAGTTAGCTATGGCGGGAGGGATATAAGTGAACGTTACTGCCTGGGAAGTACAGTAATCTTTGCTTCGTTGCCCCTTGCCATCATACAAAGCTTGGAAGAGACACAACCTAAAAATGGCAATTTTTTCAACTTTTCTTGATTGTACACCGAAAGTTAGTAATTCCATATTTTCACCCGATTTGCTCTTGACGGCCCTGCATTAAAGGGGTCCTGCAAGGACTTTTTTACTGGTTTTTAATTTGCACCGAATCTGAGCGCACTGAACGTAGTAACTTAACGAAACCTTTCTTTTTTCGAATTTCGCTTTAGTTTAAAAGTTATAGGCAAATTAAAACTACAAAAACAAGCAAAAAATAACCTCCTTCATGACGTCCTTGGTTGCTTGAGTGGCCGTGAACTAGAGGAGGGGTAGTGAGCTTGGCGAGTGACGGAGGTCGTCTCGCCTCCGGCCACGACGAGAGAAGAGGGGAAGGAAGAACTCCCTTTTTCCCGAGAATGCCTTTTGTGTGTCACAGAAGTCGCTATTGTCCCCCTACAAGATTATAGAAGATTAACCCGTCGCTCAAAATTCGTACAAAAGCAGCCGCTTCGGTGGCTGGAACGACTAGGCCATCCTCTCGACATCAGCCTCGCCGTAGCTTCGCTCGTCTTGAGACGACCTACGTCACGATTGCGTTGGACGTCACGTGGTCTCCACTAGGCCTTCTCCGAGCGCTTGCCAGAGTGGGCCGTTTATAACGAAAAATACAGCCACCAGGCTCAAAATACCAACGTGAGATTGCCATTTACGGATATTGTGGATCATATTCAACCTATTTTTGAACACGACGGGAATATTTCAAATATTGTTGAAGTATCCCTTTAAAGGGAAGATGGGGCACTTCTACATTTGAGAAAAAACGCTTGAATTGCGTTCATTTGGCCTTTAGAATAACAGATATCAAAATTATATTTCAATGCGACGCGCCGGAGAGTTACAAGAGCAATTTCAAAATATAGCTGAAGCCCCGCCCCCCTAGCCTTGGGCAGCCAAAAGAGCCGTCGATGACGTCATGGACAGCGACTGTCTTTCGCGTTTTTCTCGCGTTTAACAATACTTACGCAGCAAATGATTTGGGTATTCGGGTTCATGGGGTAAAAATACACTAGAATTCACTTCTAACTCATTTTTTCCGAGAAGCTCCGTAGCTTCCCTTTAAGGGAGGGGCTAAAAAGGCTGGAGCCCAGGGCCACGCCTGAAGAAACTGGAGGGAGGTTTTCGCTTGGCTCTCAGGGCGGGACCGTGGGGGGGCCCTCGTTCGGGTAGCCCTTTCTCCCTTGTAGGTTAACAGAAGGCCCCCAGAAAAGAGGCATTTTTCGCTTCTTCTTGTGTTGTTGCTGGCGTGTCAAACAACCACTTTGGTCGTAAATCAATTTGGCCTGGGACAGTTGCCTCTCGTTGGCTTCTTCAAAGGGCTTTTCCTCTACAGGGTCAATTTACTTTTTCCAGCGCCAACCATACTTCGCTTCATCTCGTGTTGAACCACAACGGAAGGCTAGGGGCCTCCACAGCCAATCAAGTGCCAGTCCAGAGGTGTCGTCACGCACTAATACATGCTTGAGGAGCCAGGCAAAATCACTTCTGAACTTGCGGTTGATTGGCTTTGCTTTCTTTTTTTCAGGTCGTTAAAAACCAATATTTTGATGGAGGGGATTATACTGAACGACTGTACTTTCTGGGTGGCACTTATGTGTTTTGAAGCCACAATATTTGGCTTAACAACAGAAAATGTTTTACGGTGGCTGAGTTGCTAAGGGTCCCTTCTTGTTTGTGCATCTGTATGGCAGCATTAGCCCAGGGCCCGGAAATCTCATAATCCGGCCCTGGCTCTTGATGTTAGGTGGGCTATCTCGGGATTTCATGGTTTGCTACATGTTGTTAAGCGTTGGTGTAAAAAAATTAATGTTATTTTATCTTGGTGCAATACGGCTAGAGTACAATATATTAATTTCAATCATTGACTTTAAATCCCAAAGGAGAAAAAAAAAAATCCAATGGCTTTTTAGGTTTGACAACGATTTTCTTAAAATTTGCACAATGCCGTTTTCGGCACGACGGAACGATGCAGAAGTTTGTATCTCAGGTTCAACAAAAGTTTGCGTCGTCACTTTTTTCAATGCTGTTTCATAAAAAATTAATTTTGAGTGGCTCTTCACACTTTGCAGCAAAATCCCCACCCCCAATAATCTTGGGGGTCATTTTTGGACCCCACTGAACGTGTTTAGTCCATATCACATGAGCGAATGATGTTTTAGCAAACAGCAACCGGTCATGTAAGCGAATCAACGTTTTAGCGAATACCTGGGGCGCTATTTTACTCACACTGCTTCGGGGCGACGGTCTATGGCGGCTCATTACAAAAATGTACACCCAACTGGCCCACCCGTAAACCCCATTTTGCGGCAGCCTACATTTGCTAAAGTGTCTTTCAATGAAAAGTCAGCGTTCGCTAAAATGTTGTTCGACCAACCGAGTGCCACCCGAACATGTTCATATAACAAAAACGTTCAATGCGCAACGCGCATTGAATGTGCAAAGAATTGCAGTTTTTATTGTATGGTTTGAATAAACAAGTTACATACACAGAGGAACATTCGTCGCTGTAAGCCGGGAACTATTGAAATCATCAATTCCCAGTGGAAAGCGAAAATGGCTATGCGGCATGTTCTCCAAGAAAATCTGTAGTGAAAATGTACTCATATGCCAGCAAGAGCGCACTGCAATTCGTAAGAACTCTACTGTAGCTGCAAAGACATTCGATCCGACGATTTTGAGCCCCTTCAGTGCCTTACCTGTATCCAGCAGATCAATCTCCAAATGAGAGTGGGACTCCACCAACATCGCCGCAGACCCTTGGAGTCCGCAGACCACAGTTCAAGAACGCCGATTTTAAGTGTTGTGGTTAGTTCATCGAACATTTTAGCGGGGAGACAAATCTGACAGGCTAAACCAGGGGATCGCTCGCTAAGCTGGGTGGTGTTTCATGGAGGGGTATTCAATAAAAGGCCACTTCACCCCTCTCTCGAAAACGAGTTTCTACGCCTGTAAAGAAGCATTTGGAACTTATTGATGTTCTCATTTTTTCACAAAAGCTGACTGCAGCAAGATACAACTCGCAGACAAAACTAATTGGCTGTCACTCCTGTCATACAACTGTTCTTAACCAAAGTAGTCGGGTCACATGATGTGGGCGAGATGGGTGAATGGCTGGCTTAAGAACAGCTTCAGGGGCAATTGCAGATATCGCCGGTGTAGATTCAACACAGAACAGCAGACAAGCCCACTGATGGCAACAAGTGAAGTAATAATTGGGCACGGGCAAGCTCTGAAATACTACTAGGGCACAAAGCGAGAGCAAGTTTTGACATCTTACGAACTCTGGTTTGCACTATGCATAACTAAAAGCAGTAGTTACCGGTGCAGAGCAACTATACTGTAAAGAAGCGCAACTATATATACCTTGTCACCGTCTTTGTCACTTGCACCGACAACAGAACTTTTTGGGGCACGCGAGAAAACAAGACATGACGAGATGCCATGAATGAACCGCATTTATTTCTTCTCGTTTTTTTTTTTTTTTTTCACAGGCAGATAAAAATAGTACACAACGATCTGCTTCGTGTGAAGTGTAATCTTTTTTTCTCTTTCTTACTTCTTTTGTTGGGTGTTGGTCTGTCCATCAGTCAAACAGACACACTGAGAGCAATCTATGTAACAACCAACACAGTGTGCGCGATCTGGCCTCTGTGGGGAAAGAAGGGGGTAAAAAAAAAAAGAAAAACAGAGAACGAGGTGTCACAAAAAACATTCTCGAGGGGAAGAGGCTGGCATGAGTTTCTCTCCCCAAAAGACGGCAACGTTCCTTTCGTAGCCACGCGCGTGATAGTGACTGCCGCGTCATCGCAGAGAACACTTGTAACCTCGGCCGTTGTGGAAAACTAATTTCAGAAATCCGGTTCCCGGTTTCTTAAACTCAAGCTGGGGCCGATCGTAGAGGCTCGTCGTACGACCAATCAAACCCGCAGTCTTCCAAGAAGCACGGCCTCCTTCAAGTACAAGCGCACATTACAAGTTCACGTTTCTCGCCGAAAGATTTGTAAGTAGCGTTTTTCCCCGAAGTATGCACGCAGCTATTGCACGTTGGAGGGGTCTTTTGATTGGCAAGAAGAACAGCCCTGTATAGTTTTTCTGGCTTCCCAGGGTTCGGTTTTGATTCTGCTACAGTGTACAACCGTATTGCACATGCACGGATCTTTTCTTTTTAAGGGCTCTTGGACTACGACATGTTTGTCCCGTGTTCGGCGCACCTTCCGACTTTAAAAGGGCAGACGGTAAGGTGATGACCAGCATCATTCGCAAAAAGCTAAGGGGGCGGGAAAGAAATAAAAGGGAAAAAGTCGTTTCCGTGAACTTCCGCCGTGCAAAAACGGCTTTCTCGGCGACCGAAAGTCCTTCGACGAACGAGATGAAAGAGGTCAAAAGGGAAAAGCAAAGTCTCTGCGCAATGCATCCTTCTTTTCGCAAAGAAAAAAAAAAATATTGAAGAAACTTTGGCACACACACACAAAAAACTGAAACAGAGAAAAGCACAATATTAAGCGGAAACAAACTCTCAATACTGCTATGCGAGAACGAATTCAGCAACGCCTCTATGTCTGCATGGCACAGCGTTTTGCACGTTCAAAAATTCCTCTTCGGCGAAGGCGGGGCCTTGCAAAACCCCCCACGCTATCGCGCGTCTCTTCGCCCCCTTTTTGTTGCTTTAAACATATGTATATATATAATATGCGTAACATTCATAGAGTCATTTTTTTGCATTTATTATACACACTTAAAAAATGTAATATATTATATGTGAAGGGGGAACGAGGGGCATGAAGGGATGTATCTTTACACTAAAAAAGAAACAACAGAAGACGAAATATAATATCAGAAGAATGGGGAAAAAAAAAATTACAATGGGTGTTGGAAGGAAACAAAAAATAGAAAACACATTATAGACAACCAAAAGAAAGGAGGAAAAAAAACTTGCACTGCAATATATTAAACTCATCTCAATAGATTACAAAACTCGGGCAAGGAAATATTCACACAAACTGCTGCGCGTTCCAGACTTCCTGCCCTGGTGGCAGATTGCAACAAACACGCTTTAAAAACTCTTCCATGACAAGATAGGGGGAAAAAAGCTCGCCAGACAAAAAACGAAATTACTCGTGAACACGACAATCATGCCAGCCTCTTCGACGCCGTGTGCATTCCTATAAAAAGTCTACGCCTTTTTTTTTTGTTAAAAAGACATAATAAATAAAAGAGTCGCGGAAAAAGTCCCTCCGTAACTTCGACGGCTTATTTTGCCTTTTTTTCCTTCGAATTTCTAATCCTATAAACAAAAATAAAGAAGGAGAATTTGTTTTGAAGTGTCTTTTTCGTAGGCCTCGCAGAAATGTGCCGCTGTTTCGCTTCGGTCGTCGCAGATGTCCGCAACATAGATGTTTCAACGTTTCGTAAGGCGGGAAAAGCAAACAACAGTCCAAGGAAAAAAATCTACTGTCTACAACTCTACGGTGTGGCTTGGTTCCTCTGAACAGTTCGACTTTAACAACTACAACAAACAATGTGGGATCTTTTTTTTTTTTCTTTTTTTTTCTCTTTTCGTACAGTGTCTACATTGTCATCTTTCTTTCAACTCTCTCGTTAAGGCATCGTCGTCGCTTGATGGCGTGTGGAAGTGAGGATGTGTTCTTTGCATGTGTGTGTATCGCGCTTCTTTTCTTTAAAAGCTGTGCCCCGACACGATCGTCCGCGAAACATTGTCGGCTGTCGTCGAAAGAATGCCAATCAAAAAGTCGTCGACAAGATTGCGACGAAACCTGCGTCGTTTGTCCTTTTCTCCCAACGATTTCGACGTCCAGAGTGAAAGATGCAAGGCGGAAGAAGAATGAAACGCTCTGCGACCCAATAGAAACGCGGCAACTGACGTTTCTGCATCTTCGTTCGTCGGCAAGCAGCAGGGGCTTGCGGGCAGAACGAAAACCGGAACGGCGAGAAACGCAAAAGTCCATATTCCGCGAGAGGAAGACACGCAACGGAAAACACAGACGACTATGACGACGCGCGGGGGAAAAAGACAAATGCGAGCCTGTTGAAACGAATTTCAAGTGGCCTCTCTCACGCCATCTCCCGCCTTCAGCTGAGAGGCGCTGGCTGTCGTCCGAAAACGTCGACAGGTCAACCGGACACTCGTAAAAAAAATTGTCGGCTCTTTCAGGACGTGCAGGGAAGAGGGGCGAGGAAGAAAAACAGGGATGAGCATGTGCTTTCAAGTATGAAATATATATATGTGTATATATATTTATATGCAGCGTGTATAATAATAATAATAATAATAATAATAATAATAATTATAATAATAATAGTACTGAGACCTCGACGCATGATCGCCAGTGGTGCGCGCTGGCGGCGACGCCGCAGCGGGAAATATGCGCTTTTTTCTTTTCTCCTTTCCCCTTCTCCTCTTGGTATCGTATCTTTCTCGACGCCGCATGTTGTGTATCTGCGGTCAAAAAGGCACACGAGCACTACAATCACTAGAAACACATGCACTTTGTTTTTTTTTTAAAACACACACGACACGTGCATTTTTTGCAAAGTGGGGATGGGGGGGGGGGGGAAGGGGGGAGGAGGAGGGCGGCGTGAAAGGGAAAGAAGGAAACGGGAGGTAAGAGAGGAGAACAAGGCTCGCGGTGTAAGTGCTTTACGGCTAGCGGAATTACCAAAAATATGGCGTGTCGTCTCAACTGCTTCTCTTTTGCTCTGCGCGCCCTAGAAAGCCGGCTGGGGTTTGTGCCACGTGGTGCGGCTCCCCCCTCCCCTCCCGCCCCACCCCCTCCCCAATTTCCTCCGACAAAGCTCCCCCGATCGGTCGGGGGTGCGGAAACTGGGGGAGGGGGAGGCCGGGTCCGGGAGAGGAACGAGGTGTGGCTCTTCCTGCAACAACAACAACAACAACAACAACTAACTTTGGTATGCCAGAAAATTCACGACGTGCTGCGCTCTTCCCTACAAATGTTTCCCGCCGTCTTGGTCAGCTGGCTGGTAGTGGCGAAGGCTTTCCCACGTTTTCGGGGAGGGGGGGGGGGAGGAGGCGGGATAACACACGTGCTCGCTACGCGTCTCGCTCTACACGGCTTCTTTTTTTTTTTCCCCCCGTCTCGAGTGTTTTAAGACTACACTCCTCGGCGCGACTGAACGCCGGCGGAGTCTCTACGTGCGGCAGCTCGGAACCACGTCCACCTCTCGCCACGTGTCGTTTCGACAGAAATCGACGACGTATCTGCTCCCGAGAAAAAAATGTCCGGGAAGGGCCCGACGAGCTGAAGGCAGAGGGGCAAGAAAATCGCACAGGAAGCTGCGCAACGATTGTTGTCGACGCTTTTGTTTCGTCCTGTCCGCTGCGTCTCGTCTGGAGACCAAAGAAAACGCCCTCGCCGACTCCTTTCGAAGTCCTTTCCTCCGCTACCCTCTTTCCCCGAGGCCGCTGCCTGCGTTGTGCAGCCGTCCACTATCGCCGTTTAGTCGAAGTGAGGGGGACGAGTGCTGCCATCTACTTCATCATATTTACAGCCGCGGCGACGCTACGGTGAAAACGTTTCTGCAACGTCCCAAAGGTGGCATTCATCGCGGGAGCTGTGACCTCTCTGACCTTTCTTCGAACACCCCCCTTTCTCCTTGAGGGGAAAGGGGGCAAAAGCGAATGCAAAGTGGGAGGAAACCAAAGCGCTATGACTGTACATGAACGCACTCCACTTACGGGAGCCTTTCCGTGAAAAACGCGGGCACATTTTTACGGACTCTTTCCCGCGATAGTTTACGGGTGCCCTTGCCGTGTAAAGTACGGCAGCGCCAGTCGCCGCTCCGCGCAAGAAACAAATCGCCGAAGCGGGTGGCCGGCATCGAAGTTGCGACGGCCCCAACCATTTGGACGAGGTACGCCGGCGTCGGATGGCGAGAGAGAAGACGGCGACGAGAGTCGGAAACGAGGAGAACTGTTTGCAGGAGCGGGTGGTGGTGAAAGGAAACAAAAAAAGAGTCAAGATACACAAACACGCAATGACACACGCACGGAGAGGAGAACGACCCCCACGGAAAACGCACGCGCGGCACACTCGGTGTCGTATTTTTTCTTTCTCTCTCCTCGGAGAAAGGGAGGTTGACAAAACGGGGAGGCGGGGCACCACAGCCGAGTTGGAGGTCGGCCTTCCGTCGGCCAGGGGCCGGCCTTACGTCGGCCAACCGTCGGCGGAGAGCCGGGGGCGCTTGGCGCCGTCGTAGTCGCCCGAGGGGTCCGGCGAGGAAGACGTCGAGGGAGTCAGGGGGGGCTGTCCGGGGGGCGAGAGGTGGGCCGACGGTGGGCGGCCCCCCGACGAGGCTCCGCCCCCGTGGAGGGAGGAGTCTCCCCGCGGCGGGGAGATGGGCTCGCTCTTGATCCGGATGGGGAGCGGGGAGGAGGCCTGGGGGGGCGTGGCGCTTCCTAGGGACAGGTGAGAGCCCAGGACACCTGGGCTGCCACTGCGCAAACGGGACGACAGAGAGAGTTTGGTCCAGTTTCGCTTGCATCAGCGTTGCACAACATGACGCAAACAAGCAATTGCCACAGTTCCTCCCTGCCTAGTTCTCGCAACCGAGAGGGCGCAGTTAAAACTACAGTTAGTGACAGATGGAGGATAGCGGGCCGTCCCTCTCGGATGTCCGGCCTGCGCTTGTTTCCTACCTACGTGTTTTAGCCTGCCATTTTAAGTAATGTCGATGACTACTCTGGTGTGATGGAATTACGGACTCATGCGGGGCACCACTGTAGGTGGCAAGGTACGGCGTTTGTTAATACCCTGTTCGGGCAAGGTCCGAAAACACATTGATATTCCGCTAGCGTTAACTGTGTTGAGCAGTGTACAGTAGAACTGCTGTTTGTATCTCTCTGAGAAAATCTTACCGCTATGACAGGATCTTCACAAATTCAGTGCCTTCAAAGCCTGCACCGGTATAACAAGTCGAGGACTTCAACTTAGTTTCGCTAAATCTATCTTTATATTCATCAGTGTTTAACATATCTTATTGTACCGGCATTATGTGCCTACTTCAATCTTGCTTCCCTATATTCATATCCTGGTTTTGTCAGTCTTTGCTAGAAAGCGGTCCTACTAGGCAAAAGGCCTTACACGCTAACTTACCGTAATATCCGTAGAGGTAACCCGTTTAAAATCGAAGGAAAATCAGGTGAAAATAAGCAGTGGGCTAACTTTCAATGTGCATTAAAAAAAACTTTATAAAATGATTTTTTTTTTTAGATTTTGTTTTACAAAATAAAAATAGCAAATCATGCCAAAAATAGGGGCTGGTTATCTTTCAGGGGTGGGGTGGGGCATCTTTTGGGATATTACGGCAGATATGTATTATCTACCTCTCCTCTTGCAGAGTGAACGACTGTCATTCAGAACGGTCAAACAAAATTCTATCTAAATGCTCAATTTACCTCAATCCTACAGATAAACTCCGCACACACAGAATGCATCGGTTTTGCTCGCCTCCCCGCTCTCTCACGACTCTCTTGAATCTCTTGCGTGACACGCGACATGGTCACGCGGATACCCATTCGCTTCCCGCTTTTGATGTAGCAAAGTACGAACTACTAGTTAACAAGTCTCCCCTTTTGGCTCGGGGCATGAGCGTCCAGACCGAAATCTGGGGGTGGATTCAATTCACATTGGGAGACGTAAAAGATTTTTATCTTTCTTCTCAGTTATGTTTTTTTGTTGTTTCCCATGAAATTTGTGTCACACGTTTTGTGACAGTTTTCCGTGGCGCTCTGTTACACTTGTTTCAGGGATCTGAAAAACGTTCTGTGTCAAAAGCCATGAAGGGTAGACCGCTGACGCAACTGGAACAGTAGAGCTTATATGATTACGAATTTAAGAGTGTGCAAAGTCTGAAGAGAGCCACTGAACTTGTCAATGTGTCTTCAGTCACTCACAAGATGAGACCGGCAGGGAGGTGCACCCACAAAAACAACACAATTATAAAAAAAAAGTATATATTGCATTTCTGGAGCAGCATTTTGCTGACGTAGCCGAACACTGTTTCGGTGTTCGGCTGAGGTTCGTGTTCAATCACTGAGGCGCCAATTGAACACGAGTTCGATCCGAACGCTAACTCAGCACTTGCCGCAGTCTGTGCCTCGCATTTGGCTGAGAGTAATTAAATGTGCAGGACTTTTTTGGGTAAACACCAAGCTCTATAGAAAACAAGCTGGACAAAGCATCCCCGTAGTTCATCTCCCCGCCAATAACGTCTGATGCACGACAGATGCATCTGTAGCGGCCAGTGTGCGACGTCGCACATTAGGCACCAATAGTGTCTGATAGTAAACTAATGCATCTGTAGTGCCTCGTTTGTGACTTTGCAGATTAGGCACCAATAGCGTCTAATGTGCGATGGATATATCTGTAGCGTCTAATGTATGACGTCGCACATCAGGCGCCAAATAGCATCTAATGTGCGATAAATATGACATTGCAAATTAGCAATAATAGCATCTAACGTTCAATGGATGTGTCTATAGCGTCTAATGCGGGACGTCGCACATTAGGCACCAATAGCATCTAATGTGCAATTCTGAACTTTAGGCACCAATAGTAGCTAATGTGTAACGTCGCACATTAGACACCAATAACATCTAATCTGTGGAAGCGTATCCGTAGCATCTAATGTACAACGTCGCACATTGGGCACCAAGAGTGTCTAATGTGCGACCTATGTATCTGTAAAGTCGAATGTGACGTTGCACATTAGGCAAGAATAATGTTTAATGTGCAACAGATGTATCCGTAGCATCTATTGTGGGATGGCGCACATTAGACACCAATAAAGTCTAATGTGTGACGGATGTATCCGTAGCACCTATTGTGCGACGTTACACATTAGGCACCAAGTGTCTAATGTGCGATGGATGTACCCATAGCATCTATTGTGCGACGTCGCACATTAGACACCAATAATGCCTAATGTGTGATGGATGTATCTGTAGCATCTATTGTGCGACGTCGTACATTAGGCACCAATAGTGTCTAATGTGCGATGGATGTACCCATAGCATCTAATGTACAACGTCGCACATTAGGCACCACGAGTGTCTAATGTACAATATATGTATCTGTAGTGTCGAATGTGACGTTGCACATTAGACACCAATAATGTTTAATGTGCAACAGAGAAATCCGTAGCATCTATTGTGCGACATCGCACATTAGGCGCCAGTAGCGTCTGATGTGTGGCGGATGTATCTGCTGACCGGTGACGATTAGGAGTTTATGGGTTCACAGACGTGCCCTGCTCTCACCTGGAGTGCGACTGGAGTGCCCCCGAAGGCACTGCTGTGGCCAGGGGCCCCTGTGTCGACCAGCTGTGCATCAACCCCGGCGAGTTGAAGCCAGACAGGCCCAGCTCAGGGTTGAGGGGGAAGTCGTCTGGAACACGGAGAGAATGCGGCCTTCACAACCCGCCTTCAGAACCACGAAACCTCTGTGGTGGAGCCAGTCGTTGCAGGAAGGGGATGTCGCAAACTTTTTGCCAAATCTCGAGATTCGTCCGGTTCGCCAAACGTTCAAACTTTTGACGAAATTCAATGAAGTTTGATTTGCAAACAGTGTTCCCCGTCTTCTACGGAAAAAAAAAAATCTGGGAACAACTAATTTATAAAGTAATTTATTTCATATTTTACAAAATAACTACTCGCGCTCACACACGTTGTGCATTCTCATCTAGAACATTCAGGACAACGGTGCGTACAAAAGCAGCAATAGCATTATGCTCCGGGACGTCTGATGCCAGCCATTGATTTTGCCGTTACGCCAAAGACTTCATCATATTTTGTCTTAGAGCAAGTTTGCCACACAATGGTGCCTGCAACGTGTCTCCAGCTGGTGTGTTTACAACATCTAAAAATTACACGCACATTCATTTGACCAAGCGCGATGAAACGCGATAGCTTTACAGGAACACCGTTAATGAAAACAATTAGGAAAGGAAATGGTACGGTGATGAAGTGGTTGTAATATGCCGCGCACACATCCAAGACGACGTTAAGGACAGTGTCAAGGACGACGTCGAGGACGACCTCTAGGACGACCTCTACCACTTTGGAACAACTTTTGATGCATGGGCGGGAACGCCGTAACATTCACTCAGTGGGGCACTCACTCGGGGGGAAGCCAGCGGCCAGGGAGGACGGATAGGCGGCCATGGCAGACATCCCGGGTGCTGTGACCGACACCACGGGGGTCGTGAGGGAGGCGTTGGACGTCCGCACCATCGACTGCTGTAGGAACAGGTGCGACGGGTCGTGCTGGAACGGGAACAGCACCGAGAGGCCCTTCTCAGCGTCAACATCGCCCCCGACCGACGGTACCCGCTGGCGCGGTGGTCGCAGAAAGGATGTCCCAAAAAGATTCTCTTCAGTCTAAGGGGTTCAGGTGTCAGGTTGTTCAGGTGTGAAAAGTCCCTCCGAAATTTTACTTTGTTATATATATATACAAGTATTTCTTTTTTCTTTTTTTATTGTGTGTGTGATTGCACCAGCACCTTGAAACACACCCCGAATGTATTTTCTGGCTACGCCCCTGGAGCCTATTACAAAACCTCAGACACAAGGCACCCATGTACAGGGTCTTCGGAAATGATCTTTGCAAGTGAAAGTGGGTGCAGAAAATTTGCTGTTAAAGTTCCATTTATAATTTATGCAAATTTATGTAGATCTCATTCGGCAGTTATTTTACAGTGAAGCTGTTTATGGCTAGGGTCACAAGGATTTTTCCTGTGCAGTGACTAAAAACTTTACGCTCGCACTGCAGCATGAGCACGCCTTCCCCGTATAAAAGATTAGAAGTAAATAACCACTATACACTCTTCATGAACGCGCGTGAAAGATGCCATTTGTTTTAGGCTTTTGCTTTAAAACAGTCACTGCTGCAGACGCTGGCACGCGCGGCGCGTGGAACACCATTCCCTGCATTCTCCTTGATGCTTGGGTAATTTAGCAATAGGTCTATTAGTAGAACAGTTATCAATAGGCACCCTTTTCAAGATCAGTAGACTCTCAGGTAGATAATAAAGGTTTCTCAAGGATTTGCCGCTGTGCGACCTGCGTCGGCCATGTCTACGCACGCACCGCCCTCTTTTTGTCGTCGTTCCAAGCACTTGCGTGCCTGGTTTCCTTTCCTTCTGCTCTCCCAGGGTGGCGGTCCCGTCGCGGGTGTCTACTTTCCGCCGGGTGGCGGTCTCGTCGCGGGTGTCTAGTTTCCTTCAGCTCCTCAGGGAGTGTCAGTGTCGTGTGCTAAACAGCTTTGCTGGTCATCAACCTTCACAGAGTGGAATGGCTCATGATTTTTTTTTTTTGTCATTAGGCTTGTCCGATTTACTTGCACCTCCTGCACCGGCGCAGAAAAGTGTGGACAGTCTACTTACAGTCATATCTCTACACATACCGAAAATACACTGCCCTACACTGTTTTGCATCAATGCAGGAGGAGCAGGTGAATTGAACGAGCCTATTACAGAACCTCAGACACAAGGAACCCATATATGGGGTCTCCCAAAAAGATCCTCGCAAGTGAATGTGGGTGCAAAAAATTTGCTGCGAGTGTTACGTCGACAATCTACGCGAATATATGTAGATCTCGCTCGAAAGTTTTTCTATGTCATTACGGAATATCAAACGTGAGGCACCTACAAACAGGGTGTTCTGGAAACATCTTTACAAGACGAAGCGGGCGTAAGAAATTTGCTGCACAAGTGCCATGTACAAACAATCCACACTAATTTAAGTAGATCTCGCTTTGCAAGTTCCACAAAACATTTAACATACAAATTACACTTAAAATAATGTGAAATTATGTCGATCACACTTCCCGAGTCTTTTTTATGTCATCACAAGATCCTAAACGCGAAGCACCCAAATACGAGGTGTTCCAAAAAGATTGTTTGCAAGGTGTAGCGGGGACAGGAAGTTTACTACACAAGCTACATTTACCATCAATGCAAAATTATGTAGGTCACACTTGGAAGTCGTTTTCGTGCCATTACAAAATCCTGAACGTTTAATGTGCGTGTTCTGCTGGTTAAAATGTGGCAGGAACTGCAACATCACCGGGGTGCCATTTACATGCAATCGATGGCCCATACACGGAAAGTGTTTTTGGTACAAACACCTAAACATACAAATTCTTTTTTATAAGGAGCACGGTATGATAGTTTAATCTGCTCCCCGTGAAGTGGAGAGTCCCAGTATCTAACCAAAAGGTTGTGTGCAACTTTTTAATTTTATAAAAAAAAGAAAAAAAAAAAAGTCAGCTTTTTTTTTTTAGAAGCCCTTTTGAAGTTAAAGTTTGCAAAAACATAATTAAGATATTTCAGTTTCAAATAGATATCACCGCTCTATGTATCCTCAAAATAATACGAGGTGTGATCAATAAATTCCGCCTCCTAGGCTGTAACTTTTGAAACAGTGATGGGAGTGAAAGATGTTACATTCAAATGAAAGTTTGGAATCTTCTCTTTCCAAGGACCACATGACTCTTTAGTATAGTACCCGCGGGCGGTGATGCACTCCGCACGCTGTTGTAGATGACTGAGGGCGGCTATATATCTACGCGTCTAACGACTGCACCTGCGGTACAAACGTAGCACATAATCCTTTACGTTCGCTTCAACATATCTGTATCTCCGCTGTATCAGTGTTCACTGCTACTACATTGCTTGGAACGGGACTTCAACAGTACTCTTGGCCGGGCAACCCTACTACGAGATCGCCGCGCGTCACCGAACGCCCTGGCACACGGCAGACGACGGGGGTGGCACTCACCAGCTGGCTCGTGGGCGAAGGCGAGCCCGGGATGACCACCCTGAGGTTCGACCTGCTGGGCGACGCCCCCTTGGCACCTCCTTTCGTCACCGGGGAGCTGCAGCCGGCCAGGCTGGAGGGAGATGCCGGCCGGTGGTAGCCGTTCGAAGTCACTCCGTTCATGTCTAGGAGCGCCCCACCTGGGAGGAGCCAGTGGAACCAAGCGTCGGAACGTGCAACCCCGAGTCGAGAATGGATCGCTGGCGCCAAAGCATCAACGATCCGTTCTCACAAATGCCCGGTACCGGGCGTTTGTGAGAAAAGAGAACAGCGTTCTTGGGCCCGTGTAGATAAACTGCGCGTCGCAGAAACCAGGAACCCTGAGAACGTAACACTAGCCGTTAGGATAGAACGCGAAGGTTTGAAAGGCACGACGCTACCCGAATCAAACCGGAAAGGACGAAATTTCTCTGCGAGCCGACGTCCATTGCAGCGTAAGAACGTTGAAATGAGAACCGAGATTGTGGACATGCGTGGCATTTACATGTGCGCAGAACATTTGTCCTAGCAAAAAAGACAATACTGTTTTCTTTCTTACTGACAAGTTTTCTTTACTCAAACAATTCCTCAGGACGCCCAGAACGTAATGTTTTGTTTTGAAGATATTGGGTATAGGTAAGTGATGGCTCACAGAGATCTGTCCTTCTCAATCGTCCTTTGATCTGGGTTACGTCATGTTCTCAAACTTTCAAGTTTTATTGCAACCTGGAGCCTCCCATTTTCACCGAGTTTCAGTTTTCTGCAATGTGCAGCTGGTTTATTTACACAGGCCGAAAAACACAGTTTTCTTTTCTCGTGAACGCTCGGTAAAATGCAAGTGAGTGTTGAAAGTGGGCATATGAGAAACCTCCCAGACATTAAACATGAGGAAGATACAAAGAGAGGGGGGACGGACAACAAACATAGATTTATCACGTAACTGCCAGGTAGGACCAAAGACCATTAGCGCGTTCAAATTTCCCTTGTTTTCTGACTGTACACTGACAAGTACTCCTGATGGGCTGTGCCGACAAGTGTCAATTGAAACAGGGATGCAATGTGACATCTGTGCCACCTGAATGCTAGCTCAAACCAAGAAAATGCTGAACTAGAAAACAAAATCTCTTTTCTTGAAACTCATGAGGCCATATGGCTGTTCAACGATGGTTGTTGTGCCATATCCTACCCATTTCAGGCAAGTTTTGTGCTACTATCTTGTCGTCTTAAACACCGAGACTTGGGGACAAAAAGCAAACAACACACACCTATTTGTGTGTTGTACACTTTTTTTATTCCCAAGCCCCGGGTGTTAAAGGTGTTGAGAGTTTACCGTCTCATCAGCCTGTACTCCGTCATTGCTACAATTCCATAGTCACAATCACTGCCAGAATTCATATTGCCCATGTATCACCAGCGTCATTTTATGCCTACTTCAATGCATACTCTTCGACAGAGCACAGCAATGTTCTTTTTCGTCACAATAAAATGACACCGTTTCAGACATTAAAGCTCGCATAGGAAAAGCTTTGAATAGCTTGATCCAGCAGCTAATAGTTGAAGCTCTCAGTATAGCTATGATTTTGCCATTCAGAAAGGTCCCTCTGCTTCAACAATGTCCCCTCCCTTCATTGTTTCACTCTCTCGTCTATCAATGCCCAATGTAAGGGGTGATAACGCACATTTCAGCTTTTCAAAATGAAACGCACAATGCATGCCTACTAGACTACGCGGAGTGAGAGCTTGTCCAGTATTTTGCAGGGGTTGTGTTGACATCAGAACACCAAGCTCCGATTGGCTCTGATTGAACGATAGTGGGTAGACCTCGAGGCTTTGAGGTCTACCCACTATCATTCTGGTGTCACCACAGCCCTTGCAAAAGAAGCAGATAAACTTGCGCTCCGCATAGTTAGTCCCCGTGAGGTCGTACGAGATTCAGAAACAAACTAAACTTGGCGATCCCGCAAACTTTGTATTATGTACTCGCAGACCGATGAGGCAGACCTTTCACCACTAACAACGGGCATTCCTGCGTGTTTCGACTTTCGTCCGGGCAGAGAATCGCAGATGGAGGGTTACCTGAAGAACTAGGCCGTGGGCTGACACTGGGGTGAGACATCTGCGGAGACGGCTGCATGAGTCCCTCCTGCGACGAGTAGCCAGACATTGAGCTCATGCCCTGACTCAAGGACGGCTGGCCCTGAAACGAAAAAACAGTAGTAAAAATTATGTTAGGGAAAATGTTGCCGCGACTTAAATACGACAAAAGTTTTCGAAAGAGAGTTACAAAGGGCGCAAGAGGAACCAAAGTGCATTCGTAAGGAGTACCAAATTTGAGAAAAGAGCCACTTAAAAGAAAGAAAAGAAAGGCACTTGCACGACAGCAGCACATCTATGTCTGCCGCAACCCAATAGGCGACCGGCGTTTGGCAACTTCCGGTTTCTAAGGAAATTTGGTTTAGCTGTTGACAAACGACGACGATGATCTGCAACCCTGTTTAAGCATGATTCTGAAAACTATAGTCTGGAGGTTTCAGAACCACGCTTGCAAAGGCTTGCAGCTCAATGTCGTCGTTTGTCAAAAGTGAAACAAAATTTTGTAAGGTACCGGAAGTTGCCAAACGCCGCTCACCTATTATCAACACAGCATAAAAATGCTTTGAGAGGTGCTCACAAAATGCACGAGATAGCAATTATTAACTTTTCTTTTTTATCGAGCTGCACGGACTTCACGTCGGCTACGTGCCCCAGCACGTTGGGAAACAGTTAGAAAACAGCCGATCCACAACAAAACAAAGGTCGACCGAAGCGTCCCGAAACTCTTTTTTTTTGGCGCAAAAATTGCCGTTCAACGACCACCCCGGGCTGCAAGAGGGAAGTGCGGGGGCTCACCCTTGAGCCATTGAGCTGTGCGCTGCGCTGCATCATCAGCTCAAACTCCTCATTGATCTTGCTGTACTTGGCTTCTGACCGAGGCGTCAGTGAGTACTGGTCCGGGTCCGGCTCGGGGCTATCGCATCCATTGGTCGAGTTCTTGTGCTCCTTCTTGCTCAGGGCCTGTGAGGGCGACAATGGAACGAAAACGCCCATTCTAAGAGGGACGATAGCGATAAACAATGACGCCGAAAAAAGTTTCGAAGTTTGGCGCTCGGGAATAAAGCCCCCCGTCCTGAAACGATACAGGCTACCGTATATCCTGGTCTGTAAGTCGCATCTTTACAGGCCTTTCGGGGCCTGTAAGTCGCTCAACTAACCACTTTACTACTGTAAGTCGCAGCCTTGTACGAGTCGCAGCCCCCTATAAATGGCTGGTTTTCTTGAAAAAGTTGGTTATACAGGTTGCACCGTTGCACCTACATGTTTGTTTGGTCGGTGCAGTGAAACTGCACTGATAAGCCCACAAAAGTGTACTCAGATTATGATATGTGTGCCAGTGGGAGTCAGTTTCAATAACCTCAACAGAGCATTGCAAAACAAAAACCGAAGAATGAAAAAGAATGATACTTTTGGGTGGAACGAGAACATAATCAAAATGTTGTTTAATATTTTGTTCCAGAGTGAAATGGAACCCAAGTTTTAACCGCCATTGATGCCTGTATAAATATTTTTAAACAGTCATTTTTTGTTCAGGTGGTAGAGTTGTGGAATAAACTTCCTGCTGGTGTCGTTGCACTGGAATCCCTTTCTGAATTCGAGAATGCCATAAGTGTATTGTTTGACCTGTAAGTGTGACCCTTCTTGTGGGTGTATGTGTGAGTGTATATTTCTGGGGTGAGGTTCCCAAAGGTTGATTTTGAAAGCAGTGCTTGAGGTGTATATTTTTGTGGTGCAGATCCTGGAGATTGCTCTGAATGTTGATAGTATTTGAAAGCAGTGTTGTATTTGATCTTCGTGTTTGTATTACCCCCTCCTGCCTTGGCCTTCGGTTTTTGGGGGAAAGTTCAGGTATTTCAGTATTTTCTGGTCCCCAGAGGAACCAAAAGATACCCTCGAAGTGTTTCTCAGGAAAAAAAAGAAGCTGAGGCTGGCACTCGCCCTCATTCGACGAGTGAGCTAGGCACACTGGACGTAGCATTTTTGCTCCAAATGCTGGTTAAGGGGGGACACTACCCAAAAAAGTAAATTTTTGAACCACTTGTCTGATTTAAATTATATTTACAGGGCTTGTTTCTGTTGATGTTTATAACATTTCTGCCAATTTTTGTTAACCTGGGTGAAGTACAAAAAATATTCCAAACGTTCAAAGACGAAAGTGGGCGTATCTGCTTAGGAAAACTATCGTTTTGAAATTACTTATAAATTTGTTGTTTTCATGTGTTACATTGCATTAGGACAGTTCAGAGCAGATAACTATGGAGCTATATTTCTATGTTATACCATCTTTCATGACAAAAAGCCACGTAAACACAAATACAGTTTTTTAGATTTCCATCCTTTGTCCAAACTTTTAGTTCTTGAGCATGAAAAATGACAAAAATAAAAAATACAAGCTCATAGTTATCTTCCCCTTAAAATTTCACCCCAGAAACACTCATAAAAATGAATCCAAGTTGCATAATAACAAAACGATAGTTTTCCTAAAGTGAAATTTATGCCAAAAAGTGGAATGGAGAAAAATGCATTCAAAGTGCTCCAACCTCTACCTTTCCTTTAGCATCGGTGGACCGAAAATAATTTATAAAAAATAAACTATGCAGTGTAAACTAATGAAGCTTTATGGCAATACTCTCTAGATGTTGGTGGATGTAAATATGACGTTTTTCAAAATCAACTTTTTTTTGCAGAAATTGTTTTTTCTGGGTAGTGTCTCCCCTTAAGGAACCATGTCTTTCAAGAAACCCGAATGTATTGACATTTTGGGCAGAACGAAAGGAACGCCAATCGGAACTGTCCACTCGAGCACAAGCAGCCCTTCGTGTACCGTCCACACAGGTCAGCGTGGAGCTGGCGTTCTCAGCGCTCAAGTGTTTTTTAGCGGAATAGAGGTCTCGCATTTCACTGGATATCATTTGATGACGCGCTGCTTTTGAGATCGTGCTCTGTGCCTCGATCCGTTCTTCTCGTCTCTTTTACCCGGCTTGTTTCATTTTCCATCGTTGCGATAAGAGCACGCTTGCTAGAGCCTTTTAATTACTTACTTTCTGATAAAAATAAACATTTAGTCTTTTTCTGTAATTTTTGGGTCTGAATTTTATTTTGAATGCAAACACAAGCTGTTACGGACCATTATTTTTTTGTTCCGGAGCAGAATTGTATTAGAACTTTTCCCCAAGGAACGAAACTGATACCAGAAGGAAAAACATTCTGTGCCGACGCCCTGCTCGTGAACGAATTAGTTGAGACGTATAACCGCAGTGAAAAGCAGGCACATAGCCAGGGGGGGGGCATGGGGCCCGGGGCCCAACCGAAATCTTCCATTTTGCTCGGACCTTCTCTCTCCCCTCCCCCTCACTCATACAGCATTTTGTCATGGGCGGCCCCCCCCCCCCCCCCCCCCCGTGAAACAAAATCCTGGCTATGTGCCTGCTGGTAAACTTGCGTAGTTAAAGGGATACTTCAACGAAATTTGAAATATATACTCGTCGTGTTCAGAAATAGGCTGAATATGATTCGTAATATCTGTAAATAACAAACACACGTTTGTATTTTGAGTCTGATGGCTGTATTTTTCGTTATAAACGGCCCACTCTGGCAAGCGCTCGGAGAGCAGCCAGTAGAGAGCACGTGACATCCGCCGGAATTGTGACATAGATTGTCTCCGGACGAGCAAACCTGCGGCGAGGCTGACGTCGAGAAAATGTCCTAGCCATTCCGGCCACTGAAGCGGCCCAAGCACGCCAGCGACCGGGCCACCGCAACTAACCTCAAAGCTGCTTTTGTATGAATATTGAGTGACAGGGTAATCTTCTATAAATGTCTGGGACACACAAAAGAGTGTCTCGGGGAGAAGGGAGTTCCTCCTTCCCCTCTTCTCTTGAGGTGGCTGGAGGAGAGACAGTTATCGTCACTATATACCTGTCAAGGTTCCTAGACGGGCATTACAAACGAGGCATTAGCGACATCCACCAGGTGCTCTTTGCTAATCGTTTAATTCGTTTTAAATTCCTTTTTGTGTCTTTTTTCAACAAGAGATTGGTGTGTCTGATGTGATACTGCTTCCTTAAACACAAATAAACCAAAAAATAAGCGCCGAAATTTCGTTGTAGTATCCCTTTAATGTCCATACTTATAAAAAATAATGTGTACAACTTGTACCGTTGTGTAAAACACACCGACAAATATTTGAAAATAAAAAGGAACTTGTACATTGGAAAATACAGCAATTTCTAATCAAAATGGACAATTTGCCATCCCAAAAACCTATTAATCGGTCAACGGGCCGATCGTGTACCAGTGACACCCCGTGTAACAACGGGCAGGAAGAGCAATGCAGGCGACATGCCTCTGTCTCATGTTTTTTCTTGAGCTGGACGCGACGATTACGTCAAAGCTTCCCTCCCCCGTTCAGTTTAGTGGGGTGGAATCGGTGTGTGATTACGTTAATTCATGCACCAATTGTAGCACAAACACAATCTGGGATACACTTTACCCAGCACTAACCAAAAGGACATTGACCAATTTTTGTCACTGTCGTGTCAATGATCACGATACTTTGAGGAAGCCCGATTTGACGAGAATGTTGTTAGGGATCTATTTCCGGATTTTTCCAGTTTTATCCGCAAGCCCAAAACCCTAAAAGGGGCACACAAAGTGTAATTTTTCATTTGGGGCCATCAGCTTGTGCCTATTGCCGTCACTGATATGCCAAACAAAATGCATGTGAGCTGGGCTTTTTACGGCAGCTAGAGGAGCAAAGTTCTAGGATGCTTATTTGATGGCTGTGCCCATATTTTATTTTAAATCATATAAGTTATTAGATGCACCACCCACTTCAGTATAAACAATCACGTTAAGGGGGAACATTACCTAGTAAAAACAATTTCTGCAAAAAAGCTGATTTTGAAAAAATGCCATATTTACATCCAGCAACATCTGGAGTGCATTCCCAGAAAGTTTCATTCATTTACACTGCATAGTTAATTTTTTTATAAATTATTTTCGGTCCGCCAATGCTAAAGGAAAGGTAGGGATTGGAACCCTTTGAGTGCAATTTTTTCCGTTCCACTTTTCGGAATAAATTTCACTTTAGGAAAACTATTGCTTTCCTATTACACAATAGGGAATTATTCTTGGGTGGTTTTCTGGGATAGAATTTTGTGAGGAACATGCCTGGCTGGTTAGTTTTTCTACTTTAACATTCATTTATGCTAAAAAAAGCTACATTTGTAGAAAAGCGCAGACATGACAATTTTGTTTTAATCATCTTACGGAGTTATACTTATGCAAAACAATGCAATATAGCAAAATAACTGGCTGGGTATGTGCTGTGGGTATTTCTATGACAATATTACACATAAACATCACAAACTTTTTATTTTATTTTAAAACAATAGTTTTCCTAAGCGGACACACTGACTTCCATATTGTAACACTCGTAACAAGTTTCATAATTGACATAGGAAAATTAAAGTTGGCAGGGATGGTCTTGCCACTCATATAAGCTTCCACTGCAAATTTGATTGAAATGAAGCAAGTGGTACAGAAGTTGACCAAGGGCCAAAGAACTAAAAGCAGAGAACCCCTTCGCTCGTCCATCCCTTCATTCACCGGACTTCTCATTCCTGGCTTTCCTCGCCTGCCGCACCTCGAACGAGTGTTGCAAGAGTGTTTTCTAGGGTGGGAAGCACAATGTATGTGCATTTGGATGCAGTGAGAAAATGCTCCAGGTTCCCACGGTCGCCTGTCAATGCGTGCTCATGCAAGTTAGAGAGCCCGACCAGCCGTCCTAGCATCGAGCCAAGACGTCACAGCAAGCATGCAGGGAGGCACTTCCTGCAACCGCGGCGCCAGCACGGTTATGGCGGCAGTCCCAGGCAAAGGTCGGGAAAGCGAGAAACCTCCACAGATCCAGAACCGTCTCTTGTCCTCTTACATCGTATTAATCTAGTTGTTCAATGTGCATCATACAGTTTGGTTAATGTCATAACTAGCTTCCACCGTAGCCAAACGGAAGCCCCCATGGGAGTAACTGCGAGCTAACGTGAGACATTCGCAAAGAAATGATTAACAAAGTGAATTCTTGACGTTGACGACAATCTCCTCGCCCAGCTGACGCAAGAAAAAAAGCCCGCATCTTGCGTTCGATTAATGGAAAAAGGGGGCGATGCACCGACTGGTTCAACGACTAATTGGTAGAATAATTTTTCCCCCGGCGGTCACTCACCTGACTGCCGCCATCCAGACGTTGGTGGCGCAGTTTCTGAATGAAACAAGAAACGGGGAGAGCAGTTAAGTACACGGGCGCCGCCTGCTCCCTCTGTGTCTTCATTCCACCCTTTCCAAAAAAATTAAAACAAGTGCCCCTTTTTTGCATGTGCAACGGAGAATCTGCAACTTCTCGATACCTCTCCTTCGCATGCTCCCCGCGAAACTCGGCCGATTTCTCATACGTCTGCACGGTAGCAACAATTCTTATTTCTTTAATTATCCCTCACAGCTTACCTTAAACAAAAATTTTCAGGGTGGCAGCAGACATTTTTTCTAAGGGATCTTAGCTTGTTCAGGATGCTGAGGAAGCCCAAAAAAAGTGAAATCTCTTAACAAAATGCGGGACGAAACTCTCGGGGTTGGTTCAGACATTTGCATTTGACTGCAGTCGACCGCGTTACGACTCTTTGCGTTCTACTGAGACGCGTTGCGTGAACCTCGGTTGTCGTAGCAACCACGTAAGCAGGAATGAGGCGCAGGCGGGTCGCACTAAAACGCAAATGGTTGAGCCAATTTCTAGGCTAGAGGTGCCTTTTCACCTTCTCGCTGTCAGCTTCGACTAGCTTTCCCTACTAATTACGAGGTCTCGTTAAGCACCAGTTTTACTGCAGCCGAAGCACAATGCCAGACAATTTTAAGAAAACATTAGGCCTAGCACAATACATTAACCTCAGAACCAGCAACACACACTAAGGAGGTTTAAGGTTAGCACCACAGTCAATAAGGCCATCCGGTTGTGCCACTCCTCGTCATGCACGCACACGCAGGAACATGGTGCAAACACGGGTGATTAAAGGAACACACGAAAAATGGAAACGAAGAGTTAGGGACGTAAGTGGGCGGTGTTAGGATCAGTGAGGAGTGAAGACACCCGTTCTAAAGTTGGAAACAGTTCGGGCCGGTGAGCGCCCCAACCCTGTAGCACTCAAAGTGTGGGAGAAATGGGTGCAGTCTAACACTGTCACATGACAGCTTGAGAGACGCAGGGAGCGACGAGCCTCGGGCATCTAATTATCATACCGCAGCCAATCACAGTGCGGCACCGGTACTCAAGGAGAACACCGAAGAGCGAATCGCGAAGCGAGCAGCATGAGCATATACGGAGAGCAAGTCGTCTGCTTCTTGAGCTGGAGTGGCGGTGACGTCAGAACGACGCCGACCTCCTATTGGCTGATTGAAAAAAATAGAGAGTAGACCTCGAGGCATTTAGCATTGAGGTCCACCCACTATGTTTTTCAATCAGCCAATAAGAGCTCGGCGTCGTTCTGACGTCACCGCAAGTCCCGAGCAAGAAGCAGACGACTTGCTCTCCGCATTAAGCCACGCACTGCATTTCCCGAGCTGTGGTGACCATGAGAGAAAGGTGTGTAGTGCAGTCAAACTACGAGGTGGTTTTTGTTTCGTACTAACCTTGGGTGATTTTGGTCGAAATTCTCAAGTGTGTGAACAAATATTAGAACAAAATTTTTGTTGAGAAACAATGTCGTATCTACTAGAACGCTTCTGTACCTTGCCTGAACCAAGGAGCAGATGTGTTTGTTCCCAAAACACACTTGTACAACCTTTTGTTGCCTCTTCGACTCTTAAACCCTATCCCTCTTTCTTTCTTCCCTCTCCTCTTGCAATTTGGGAGGAGAAAGAAATCTAGAGGTGTTTCTGCATTGCAGAAGGTAGGGGCAGTGTGTCAGCCTTTAAGCAGGCTGAACAACGAGTCAGTAGGTGGACGTATGACTTAAACTAGATACAAAGGCAGTTCTTTACAGACACAAACAAAATTTGGTTTCTCTTTCGAGGAATGGTTCAAGGTGGTATGGTGTTTATATCCTATTTTAATCACATTATAATACACTGCGACAACTATAACCATTTTGAGTTTTATAGTTGTGAGGGTATGAAAAAAAAGCTGACTTTCTTTGTAAAAAAAAAGGAACAGAAACAAGGGACAGCAATAAGACCGCAAGCGCAACTTGAGAAAGGTGCCCCTGATAAGGCCCGGGCATATAAATGAGCCTTGGACACTGAACAACGATGGCCAAGTTTACGGCTTACACCGCCCCTAAAACATTTGATTAACCGTGTCCAAGAACACAGGCCACAACCCACGCCAAAGGTAAGGGTGGCGTCGCCCCCTGGGCTGCATCAAGATAATGCTTATCACATCGAAAGGAAAACAGAGTTAACGGAGCCTTTGGAAACCGAAATCAGTCTTTCAGTAGGGTCTTGGCATTATTTCAATGCCTACATTGAAAGTTCACATTAATGTGGTTGCTTACAGCAGCTTGGTAAGACTAAATGTTAAAGGTCTTGGAGAACTATCACTCACAAATTTTATTTATCCGTAAGTAAATAAATTGATACTACATCCTCAAGCAAGCTTCAGTAAGACCTTTGAATGCTGATGTGGCAAATAGGGCTACTATATAAACAAGGTCCCTGAGGAAAAACTCTGAAGATTTTATCAAATTTTCCAAGGAATTTCCTAACTTTGCCACACTCACTAGACTTAAACGAAAACCTCACGTTTTCCCCAGCTCATGCTACATTAAGTCCACATTCCTAGACTTTTAAAAAGCTCGCCAAAACTCCCTGACAATCACAGACTTGTTCCTGGTTCCCTAACGTGGTTAACTGCCATCCAAACTCCCCAACTGTTAAAAGCTCTCTGGCAGCTCCTCATCTCATTCCCCACAACCTAGCTGCGCTGCCAGTCTTCCCCAGATGCCTCAAACTCTCTGGAAATTCCAGCTTGCCAACATTCCCCCAAAACTCTATTACCCCGACTTTTGGGGAAATCAGGGAGTTTCGGTCCACAAAGATTTTGTAGAAACTCCCCAAACGTTCGGCGGCCCAGGCCATGCCCAAGTTCGCAGACGCTTCGTTCAGAACCACAAGGTCTACCGTCGTCTGCGCACTGCTGAGAGACTAAGGGACAGGTGCAGAGGGATGGAGAGAGAGGAAGAAGGGGAATCTCGGGGAATGCCAGCTCCCCAACATTCCCTCAAAACTTTATTACCCGACTTTGGGGAAATTAGGAAGTTTCGGTCCACAAAGATTTTAGAGAAACTCCTCAAATGCTCGGTGGCCCTGGGCATACCCAAGTTCGCAGATGCGTCGTTCAGAACCACAAGGTCTACCGTCGTCCACACACCGCCGAGAGACTTGGGGACAGGCGCAGAGGAATAGAGAGAGAGGGGAAAGGAGAGAGCTCGAGGGAAGGTGGTCGGCGAAGTTACCTCGACGATGTCGCTGTTGGTGCGGCTCTCGTGGGGCTCGTTGTACTCGGTGTACTTGAGAAGCACTTTGTCCATGTCGGTGCTGGCATACTGGAACAGCTTGTTGGTGCTGTTGAAGATGATCAGGGCGATCTCGCAGTCACAGAGCACGCTCAGCTCATAGGCCTTCTTCATCAGGCCAAACTTGCGCTTCGTAAACGTCACCTGCAACACGCGGGTAGACGATGCATTGGACGACACGCTTTCGATGGCGTGCACCCAATAGTGCAAGCATTGTAAAAAAAAAAAGCAGATTAGACGTCCAACACTTCAACGATGAGAGGCAGGCTTGCAACCGAGGTATGGTGACACTGGTTAAAACAGCGTGTGAACAATTGAGCTAGTGCAGTCGGACTGTCAGCCTGGTGTCTTTGCGTCATGCAGTACAGAATCGCACGACTGCAAGCTGGTACGATGCTCATGGTGTGGCAAAACTGCATGATGCACGTTAAAAATATCAAATTAGCAGCTGTTGAGAAGCTTCAACCATTCCTGCAACTTGTGTTCACAGTTATGTGCCACGGGTTCTTTGCTTTCTTTAGGATAAAAAGTGGATTAATGGACTTGGGTTTTTGTACCATAGACTTTTTTTCCGACGGTTAAACTTGATTTACGTGCAAGAGACTGCAGACTTGCAGTTCCTTGACCCAGCTTTATATAAAGAGGATCCTGACACTGAGCAATGTTGGCTCGAAATATAGATTGAATGGTGCTGTGGAATTTAAGGCTTTTCAAGAGGACACTTCACATAAGGCCGAGTGACGCAAAATGCGCCGTGCTTTTGTGTCAATTTGCTTGCATCTGTTTCACCCATTTTGCCCATCTGGCTTTTGGGGTAATCTGTCGGAGATACCGACGCAAACGTACGAAGCATTCTGCATCAGCCGACATAATGAAAAGCATCAAAGTAAGCTTTAAAAGATTTGTGAATGAACTGCGATGAGTTGCCGCAGCTAGTCTTAAAGGGCAACTCTGCTTCAATTTTGTTTCTGATAAAACAATGCAGTCCACTTCACAATCACCTAGGAAGACCACACATTAAATATTACGACCTAGTTCTGTCCATATGTTTCCTAAAGATCCGGCAAACTTTGGAACGTGCCAAGTTGCCGAAATTGGCCGACTCTATCAGGCAAACTGAGGCGCAATCGATGGCGCAGTCAAGGCTCAGCATTGGCGTAGCCAACACTCAGCTAAGCGTCATCCACATTGCTGCCTCTTGTTTGTTTTTACTTCTCCGGGCAAGCGTAACAGATAACGTCAGTGGCGTCTCCTCCTCGGCTCTCAGCGGTGTCCATGCGATTATCGTAGCGTGCCTACATAGCGTGCTTTTGAGCCTTGGGAGCCGTCTGGTCGTCCCGCCGTTACCACCATCTCCCACGTCACAACCGCCGTCGTCATCCCGCCGTTAGTGATCATCGTCTCTCAGAGTTTCGTTCACACTATGTGCGCAGAGCGATGCTGCAGTTGTGCAGCTGCCGTTGGATATCGCAGACACCAATGCTTGGTGAAGACTGCTGTGCAGACAACACCTGCGCCTTGCATGCACCGGCCCCAACGGTGGCCCGCCCTAATCCTGCCCATCGTCGTGTAGAAGATCGCATGAACGCTCGAACCACGTAGTAGCCATGTTTTTGGCAGCTCGAGGCCGAGACTGGCCAACGGAGCCGAAGTTTCAGTTTTCAGAATTTTTTTTTAATTGAGAGGAGTTGCCTTTTATAGGCCCATTCACAGACTTGCAACCGAGTGGGAGCGACTGAGACAAGACCGGTTTTTAAGCCTCTTGCAGCGGCTTAGGACCGGAAGCGCTGCTGCGGAGCTGGTCCTAAGCTGTCGCCAGGGGCTTAAAACTGGTCTTGTCTCAGCTGGTCCTACTCGACTGCGAGTGTGTGAAGGGGCCTTAGGTGAAATCGCTGTGGCTCATGATCTCCTACATCAAGTAGTGCAGCCTACGTCACCGACGACTGACGGTCCCGTGACCGGTGTCACGTGAGTGGTTGATGCATCCATGGGACATCTGCCTAGTTAAAAATTCATATTGGAATTTTCTCATTGGTACCAGCTAGGTTTTTGGACAACCAATTGGTCACTGCCAATAGGAACCCATGACTATTTAGAACCCATTCAGGTTCGAAAAATAATTCAAATTGGTGAGACACGTTGGCCAGTGTCTCACCAACCCACTAAAACTAATTGGAACTAATGGGAATGTTTAGCTGGGATGGTCATGTGACATCATGTGAGCACATAAAATGATGTCATCATTCAATTGTGTCACATGACCTCATGTAACCTATAGTGATCACATGAGCATGTAACCTAGTGATTACGTGACCATGTGAAACCCCGTGAGCATGCGCACAGCGGTGTGCACATGGGTAGATCAGTGCAGGCAGAAACACAGACATATGTAGAGCTGTACGTAAAGTGTAAAAGTTCATGGAGTGATCACATACCTGCCGGTTCCTCTCGTCTGTGATCCTAGATATCTGTATTTTTTTCCTCCCCATGGCTGGAGTAGTAGCGGAGTGCGTCTTTGCAGAGTAGCCCGAACGCTCAGGGAAAACTCATTCACGGCGTCCTGTAGTCAGCCACTGCGAGGACAGAGAGAAAGAGAGAAAAACGTAAGACTCTCCCACAACTCTCGAATCTTCTGGTCTTCTTTACCAGAAGCCACTTGTAATAAAAACTTGCACGTGGGGGACCCAAGACACACATCACTAGTCGAAAGGACAGAGAAACAAAGAAGTCCCAAATACAGCTGCCATAAGCAACTTAAGTCAATTCCACTAATCTCGAGTATCCAGTACGAAGTCATGTAAAAAAAGCAGCCTTTTTGGCTTCCATCAAAGAAAAGCTGGGAAACACACAAACATTCACTTGGAAATCTGATGATTCGGGTTTTCAGAGAGTACCGTCTCCGCCGTAGTTTTCACTCTACGGCAGAGATGCCAGATGACGCGCTAAGGCAGATGAATTTAATGCTGTCTGAAGACCCATAAGACAAATTCAGCATGTTCTTTAGGAACAAGCATGTAACTATCACAGAATAGTCAAACCAACAGGGACTTAGCAAACTAGATTTTCACGTCAACTTATGAACAACGCACAAAAGCTTTCTCGGGGTTATTTCACTCCCGATTCATAGCACAAATGCATCTGGGTAATAACATCAAATTAGAACCTCACTAGCACTCGATTGTGCTAGCAAACACACCAAAATGCACCAACCTTCCAAAAAAAAAAAGATAATAAAAAATTTTAAACGTTGCTGCAGTTGTTTCTGCAGTCTTGCAATGCTTTGCAATGCATCTATTGCTGCACTGCAGAGGCAATACACCAAAATGCACGAACTTTGTAAAAAAATTTAGAACAGCTACAGAAAAGAAAAAGAAAAAGACACTGCATTTGTTTGGGTTTGGATGTTACCTATCTAATAACATTGCTCTGTCATCAAGTATAGCTATGTCTACTGACAAGACACTTTCACTTTGAATAGGATCAAAGCTACATAGTTGAGGGCATATATTCTGAATTTAATGAAGCGGGTGAAACTTCACTTATCAGATATCACTATCTTGGATTCTGTAGAGAATAAATGCCCAGGCCAAAGGTAACAGTGAAGGTACAGTCCCAATGAAGCTTGACTAAAGTGAATAGAAACAAATACAAATGATAAAATGTATGCAGGTGCAGACCCATCTGCAAGCACATCAAGGTTTCAACTGCAGATTTTTACACAGTAAAGTGCTAGCGAAACTGCAATGTCTTTCATAATTTGTTTTGCAAGGTGAAATTTTACAAAAGCACAAAACAAATTCGCTCAAAAATGTTTCTCAAGGAACAGGTAGGTGACTACTTTCTGTGCAAAATTACACTTTCTGTTAATGAGCCATGGGCATAAAAATATGGTCATCACATTTCGTGGACTACACTGTTCAAGTTATGCTGAGCACGTTACTGTGAAGTATGTGTATACATGGGGCAACATACTGCTGTTGTCTAGCCAAATGTGTAGAAAAAAAGAACCGCCTCCAGCACACTTCACAATAAAAAGCAAGAAAGACTGAGAGTTAACAGAGCTGGAATCACTAAGTAAGAAATAACATTTTATTCATTTAAGTGGGAAAAGCTATGAGGAATGTTGGGTATGTTAAATGCCATGATTAGAGCCTTCCCCGATGCATTGCTTAATACACTAATGGAACCAATTGAAGCTGTATAACTTACAAACATTGCCTTTAAAAAGTCTCAGCAAAGCATTAGGCACAATCATTTCATGTGCATGACTCAGCAGTTCCCCAATATCGCCATCAATGTTTGGGTGATCCCTGTAAGCAATTTCATCTGCCCCATTTAACAACTCCAGTAGTTACATGTGCACAGCCTCATAAACCTCCCATAATGTCCTATGTTCCGTGAGCCACATCAGCGATTTCCCATCCCGCCTAATTTAATGGCTCAAATAGTTACATGTACACAGCGTCATAAATCTAAAATTTCTTCATTAAAAGGGGGAAGACATTTTCACAGGGACCAGTCAACTTATTATCTATGAACAATAACATACCAAAGCAAGAACTCACAGTGCTGAGCACAGGGACACAAGTTTCAGATCTGCGAGCTGAATACTGTAAACGACTTAATTTTCGCAGGATCAAATTTTTGCAAATGGGTTAGAAGCAGAAAACTTTGAATGATTTGCGGGTTCTAATTCCTGCAAATCAAAAATCAGAACCCACGCGGTAACCGCAAATTAAGGTGAAAACGAATTCTGGCCTATTGCATTATTGTCTTTCAAATATTTTAAATACGTCAATAATTGAGGATATGTGTAATGATCACATGAGAACCTTGGCACGTGTGTTTTCTCGATAGATTGCTGCTCAATAAAGCACAGCTTCTCAATGTAGGTTCTGAAGAGTCAACATTTTGTTAAAATTGTTTGAGGGACCTATTTTTCGCAAACTGTAAGCAATTCACAAAAATTCGGTTCTTGCAGAAATTCAGCAAACGACTAAATTTGAAATGAATAAAATGAACAAACAAATACATAAATTCCCAAAGGTCATAATAACTCATTATCAGTTGAATTGTTTAAAAAAAAACATTCTAAGGCTGACCGTGCCAAGTTGACTTACCAAATTGCATTGCTTTATTATTTTTTTCTTGCTCTTGCATTTTTATATTACTGTTGTGCTTGTACTACATTTCATATACTGTTGTTTTTACTCAGTAAAATATATTAACCCCTCCTCCCAGGCGAAAATTTTCAACTGGGACCAGTTGGTCCCAGTTGCAACTGGTTTATGGAACAATTCCCAGTTGCAACTGGTCCCAGTTGGAGTCGTCCAACTGGGACCAGTTGGTCCCAGTTGCAACTGGTTTATGGAACAATTCCCAGTTGCAACTGGTCCCAGTTGGAGTCGTCCAACTGGTCCCAGTTGGAGTTGGTACCAACTCCAGCAACAATGAAACACGGCACAAAATGGAAGGTTGACAAGACTTTATTGTCAAAAACTTGGAGAATGAAACTAAATAGGTTCGGTGACGTACACGCTCCGGGTTTAGCCACTTGCTTGCGACGGTTGAATCGCTTTTTCAGAGGTGGTATTCATGAGATGAAGGAAGATCGGCCGCTGGCGTCTGTTAGCGAAGACGTCCTCAGCTTCTCTTCCCATCGCGTGAAGAAAGGTGCTCACCCGTGATCCTGCGTTGCGCAGGTGAAGTCCTGATAAGATGCGGTAGCGCTCACACCTTGCAATCTCTGTCACAACAGTCGAACATTTTCGAGGTAGACCTCCCGCCATTTTCGCCATTGTGCTCTCCGCGGCGTGTTCTCTTCCGTCCGGTCTTTCCTGGGTGCCCTCCGATCGCTGAACTGCATCGTTCCATCCTCGAAGTTCACCGCCGCCACCATGGCGTGTGTACGGTTAGGTCCAAAGAAGCGCAGCTGTAGTTTTGACATTTTCATAACGACGCCAACTTGGGCGATGGCGACCCTTCCCTACCGCGTCCGTCCGACTCCGGCGTCAGCATAGGCAGCGCCATCTGTCGACAGCGCGTACCACTAATCCGCACCCGCGTGCCACGGCGGCCGGCTAGCTCTGATTAGTCAAAAGATGAATTTATTTATTAAAAGAAAAAAAAATACTGTTGGTATTTAAATAAATGTTTTAATATATTTTAATAATGCACTAAATGTTCATTTAGGTGAACACATTTTGTCACTAATTATATTTTCCAATTAAAAAAATATTTAGTTAATTAAAATTTTTATATTATTTTTATAAATATATAAATGTACCCCAGTAATTAAAAATTCCCTATTTGTATAAATCTAAAAATGTTAGTTTTTTTAGTTTTCTTCATTAGCAAAGGTCAATACACCCCCAACTTGTCCAAATTGTTGCCCAATGTTAATTGGGAACGGGAAAGGCATTTGAAGCTCGACTGGGAATCGCTTCAACCAGTTACTTTCCTAACTGGTTCCAGTGCACTCCATTCCCAACTGGGAGTCAAACCAGTTGACTCCCAACTGGGAATGGTTCAAACCAGTTGACCCCTCAGCTGGCCCCAGTTGGACTCCCATTGGTCCCAGTTGATTCCCAGTTGGGACCAGTTAGTCCCAGTTGCTTCCCAGTTGGGACCAGTTAGTCCCAGTTGAAACCAGTTGAGGTGCCAACTGGTCCCAGTTAGAAATTTTCGCCTGGGCTGCCACAACCTCCAAAAAAGAGGTTAGCAGTACTTACAAATAAATAATAACTAATCAAATTAGTATACCTATCATCATCATCATCATCATCATAACATAAGCTCGTATTGGTAGCTTTTAGGGGTGTCGCGAACCGGCCGCGGTTCGAGTTCGACCAGGTTCGACTTTTTCGAACTTTTAATGAAAAGTTCGGCGAACCTTGTATTGAGGTTCGACTCGTGTGCGCATGCGCGACAGGCAGGCCAGTTGGCTTCGGATTGGATGGTGATGGCTAAGGGAGGAATCAAGGGCAGCGCTAATTGGTTCTTTCAGTTAATTCAGTACAAAAGAATTAAGCAATTAACTTCTTCAGTGATAAGAATTGATTTCTTTTAAGTGCAACTGTTCATAAAATAAAATAACCCATTGCATACCAAAAAAATTCTCCAAACTTAGACATGCTTGTATCAAGGTCTGGCCACAGTGTCCACAAAGTCGAACCGGTCGAATCTGGTGAAAAATGTTCGAAGAACCCCGAAGTTCGACCTAAAAATCCGGTTCGACAAAAGTTCGCGACACCCCTAGTAGCTTTGGCTTCGGTCGCACATACGTACGCCGACTTCACCGGCAGGGCGCAGCGCCGGGGGTGGCGAACTTTTCCTCATCGCCCTTGTTTACAGATCGCGCTCGTACGGAAAACCCGCCACGCGCTCGCGTCTGGGGTCTCGAAGGGGGGAACCGGGATTGCCCCGAGTGGACCAAACGAACGCGGGGGACGGACGCAAGCCCGTGCTTTTTACGCGTGCTCCCAGAACGCGCCCAGCGTGTTTCGGGTGACGCGGCGATTCGCTATGCGGGGGCTGCTGTACGCTCGAAGGGCGCGTGCCTATCATTTGCGTA